ATGAGCGTCTTCGGAAGATTCTCTTGGGCCACCATGTCCTATCACTGCCACATCGTATACAATTGTGGCGGGCTGTTGTCCTTTCGTCGGCCTGTTATGGGCTTGTTGGTGTTGGCTGGAGTCAGTCAGGCTATGAACGGATGCACGGCATGTGCATGCGACATATGCGTGCCATTGCACGTGCTCCTCGGCATCTCACTCATGAAACCAATGACCACCTGCTACAACGACTGGGGGTCCCAACGCTTGGTGAGCATCTTCATCGTATTGCAGTCCGAGCTCATGAGTATCATATGTCCCTATCCCAGCATTTGGATGCGTCGGATATTGTGTGCAAGCCATTATACACTGATTGGTACGGTGCCCTCTCGGAGCAGATTCGTCAAGCGGTTGATCGCACCAATCTGATGTCAGCCTCTTCGACACATGATTCCTTGGATCTCCCGTATCAGTGTGAATTCTGTGAACGGACCTATGCCACTATGCGTGATTTGAGGGCACACCAAACAAAGATGCATTCTGATGAACTGCCGGAGGACTGGAATCGGAGCCAAATTACGCTGGAAAATGTTCGTCAGTATGCTGTTGATGGTATGCCAACATGTTCGTTCTGTCTTCGGGATTTCAAGAACTGGCAAAATCTCTACACACATTTGCTGCATTCGCGCTGCACCGCAGTGACAGCAGGGCTCGAACCAGTAGCGGCTACCTTGACTGCCTCCGCTACGGTTCTGCCCTTTGTCAGGAACTCTGCATTTCTGGCTAAGCTTCGTCAACATGGTATTCAGCCCTTGCGGAAAGCGGATGCAACATTGCAGGAACTTCGACATCATTGCTGTATCTGCAGGCAATGGCTGGTGCACTCAGACTATGCATGTTCGCATTATAAGAAAACCCATGTGGCCATATGGAAGGAGTTTGAACATCGTGTTCGAGCTCTGGTGCGACCCAGTTATTTGAGTGCACAATGTCCGTACTGCCTGCGCAGGCCCTCTCGGAGGGGCCGACACAGATGCCCTGTTCTTATGCAGGTACATCTGGCCATACTGCTGGATGGACGAGATTCTTCGCGAGGGACAGGAGCTGGCCCCTCCCAGTCGGGAGGAAACCAAGTACTTTACGGACATGTTTCCCAAACCACACTCTCCCACCCAGATGACGGAGCCGACAGCCCCTATGGACACCAGTGCTCAACCAAAGCGTGGCATTTTAGAAGGCTCTTCGGCCAAGGAAGAGGGACAGCAGAAAGTTTTCAAGGCAGCGGAGCGCACAGCACAGAAAGCAGAGCCAGCGATGACAGTGTCCACCACGGCCACACCGACAGGCTCCCAGAGCTCTCAGACTCAGCAATCCCTGCCACCGGCTCCCCCCTTGACAACAGGCAACGACACACAGCCGAAGGGCAAGAACAAGGGGAAGAAGGACAAGAACAAAGGCAAAGGCAAGGGTCAAAAGAATGGCAGCAACGGTCCTTGGCAGACTTCTTCCAGCCATCAAGACAATCTGGTGTCAGCCATAGGTTGCCTGTGTCTGAGACACGAAGATGCGATCGCGATACAACAGGCCAACCAAGGATATATCTTTTTCCTACGCACTACAGGCCCAGAATCGATTATCCAGCCACTGGCCAGAGTATCGCAAGCGTGGAACCAAGCCAAAGAAACAGAGATACCCCGCCATCCTCTTCGAATCGTTCTTCTGTCAGCCCTTCTGGAAGCCACCATAGAGCGTGTAGAAGCGGCCGTGAGTCCGGAGAAGAGGGAAGCTACGGTACAGACAGGCATGGTGATCGACCAGGGTGGCGAGATGTACTGGCCTTACATCCAGTGGAACCAGGAACAGCGCACGAGGAGGTGATGCCCACAGACCAGGTTCGGCCGTTGGAACACACGAGACTACTCCGGAAATTGAATCAACTGCGAGACTCCATCACGCCGGAGAACGTTTTGAGGTGTCATGGTCACCACAAAATTGCGGAGAATCTGGAAACCGAGGTCTATCGGCTGGTTCTGGAAGTCGAGACGGTTGGAGACGAAGCTCAGAACATTCACGAGTGGCTTCGTCTTCTTGTGAATTGCACGGTTTGGAAGCTGATAGGAGGCCGGTTCCGGAGGGGGAGACTGGGGCGCTCGCCACTGGCGAAGCGCTTGGGCGAGCTCCTGGGACAATCATGAATTGTTCCGATACAGCCCTTGCCACTCTGCGACCTCTTCGATCCTACAAGGTGCCGAACATGACATTACAGAATCCTCACAATGTCTGCTACGCGAACGCGATTGCCATTTCACTTGCCTGGCTTGGATATGTATTTCAAAACCACACTCATGTTGGTGGCAGGTGCACTGGATGTTTGAGTGTTGTGCATGGAGCTCGGATGCTGCTTCTTACGAATTCTTTGCCGTGGCTGATGGTCTTTGCTGACTGGCCTCAGGCTCATGAGCAGCATGATGCAGCGGAATTTCTTTCTCATTTCCTTTCCAAGGCAGCACCGAATGCTTTTACCAGTCTGTGGCAGTCACGTGCAGAATATGAGCATGGTATTCATGTTCAGGAACGTGGCACATTGATGATTCCCCTGGTTCTGGACAGGTTGGGTACAGATCTTCAGTCCTGCGTTGATATGTGGGAAAATCAGTATGATGTACGGCCTGATAATTGGCAACCATTCGTCCGTGCACTTTGCACATTTGGTCTTGACCATGGAATGGTTCTGCAGCTTCAGCGGTTTGTGTGTACTGCATCGGGAGCCAACAAAGTTTGCAACAGGGTTCTGGTGCGACCGGGCCAAACAGTGGCGGTACCAGTATTTGAGAATGATGCTTCCACGACCACGTATATGGTAAGTTGTCGACTTGCTTTTGTGGTATATCACATTGGACCTACCATGCTTTCTGGTCATTACAAAACAGCTCTATGTGTTCCTGGTACATCCTTGGGGTTTCGTGAAGGCTGGAAGTTTGTTATATGTAACGATGCCCAGAAGCCACACCTGGCCTCTGCAAATGACTATGCAGAAATTGAGACTGGTTGCTATTTACTTGGGCTCTATCGTTCCTCTTCTCTGGCTGAAGCAGGATGACTCTTGGTTTGCTACCGGCCCTGCGGCTGGTATTCTGAGCGCTGCGAGCCCCGGTAGTTGCTGTGCCGAGTGATGATTTGATGTCAAAGCAGGGATCTACAAGGATTACCGTACGGGTTTTGTGGGTCACACTGCTTCTGTTCACAAGGGCTGTATCCTGGCTTTGCCATTTTCACGGAATGTACCAACTGTTGCACGCCAGGCCGTGGTTTTGCTTTTATCCATTACTCTCACATTTCCTGCGTTTATTGTTGGGTACAGTCGGATTTGGTATCGGAGGGTGTTCCGACCACGAAGGCCCTGCGTCTGACTCTGTCCATCGATTTGTAAGTGCATGGTGCCGTATGTGCGGTCTTCCCTCTCTAATATGATTGTCTTGTAGTTAGCTTCCTTATCGCAAGGTTCTGTTTTGGGTTCACTCTGGCTGCTTTAAAGACCGTGCCTCTGGCAACCCTGCGATTCCGGACGCATCCGATTTCTCATGAGTGACTGCCATGTATGTTTGCTCCCATGCGGAGATTCCATGCTGAGTCCTTAGGTCTACTATGTACCTGGTGTAAATCCTTGTCCCACTTTCATGGCAGTCCCAAGCGAGTGCTGAACTCTGACCTTGAAGGCCTTGAGAACCTACCATGTTTTTCTGCCAACTGACTTGTAAAGTGCATACAGCTGTACCTAGGTACTCTCATTCCAGATCGATACTGTGTTTTAGTTCTTTTGGTTGCTCCTTCAGCGTGTATGCATCTCTGGCAGTTCATCTTGCTATGCATACGTTCTTGAGCTGCTCATCTTTATCATATTTTGTTTTTGCACTGGGCTTCTCTCAACGTGTTGCTTCGCTTGACGCAGTTCAGAGAATGTACCACCTGGCCGTGATGGTCCTGCATGTATTGATGCTGCTATAGACTTGTAATGTGCCTTCGGCAACGACAGGGTCTGCCATATTCAGTCCTAAACCTTGATCATCTTTACTTCCGGTATCTTGGCTGTTGTTTCATCCTTGGCGAAGGCCACCAACAGCAGTCCTCCTGATCTGATGCTATGAACATATCACCGTGATCGCGACCTTTGGCGTAGCTCTAGGATTGTTTTGGCCATGCTCCGTTCCTACAATCGGTGATTTGTCCTCGCGGATCGCAATCATCCTTCAGGCTGTGAGGTGGCAATCGGTATACTACTTGTTGCTTCTTTATGGTCTTATACTGCACTCGTCTGTGCTTTGCCGCCTGGCCTGACGTCTTCTTTGAGCTGCATGCCTACAGACTTTTCAATCCTTCGAAGCAGCAATGTCAACATATCCATCATGACAGTGGGTTACTTGTTATGTTGGTTTCTGGTTGTTTCAGCTTTGCAGCTACACTCTACTCAAACCGTGGCATTCTGCTTGCTGGAGGGCCATAGCCTTTACTTAGGCTCTTGGATGGACACCAGCTGTTGACATTAATCTTGTTTATCATTCGGCATACACTGCACCTGTTCTGATATGCGTGGTGACCTTCCACTTGCCTGTGTACATCCTTGCTTGGGTCTACGGACCGGGGGATACGTTGCTGGAGTGCGTGCTTGGTCCTTCGGGGCGGCGCACGGCTCTATGCACTCCTTCCCTTCTTACTTTCCTGTACTGGATCACAAAGTGAGCGACCCTGTCGCCGTGCAATACGCACGTCCTTACAGCTCGCTACGTTCGGTCGCCGGACAGCGCTTCAAAGTCAAAAAAAGTAAAATTTCTCGTCATCATCATCACCACCATCATCATTTGAAACCCTAGGCGCCAAAGACCGTCTCAATAGCATGATTTCTGCTAGTTTGAGGCTGGAATCGCGAAACCCCAAAAGCCCGAAGCCTAAAGCCATTGCAGCCTCAACCCCAAAACCATATTCACCAAAAATCAACACCCGAATCCGAACCTGATATCCTTCAGGCTGGCTTTGCTTCCTGCAAGAGGCCTTGAATTCAGCCCACATTGATGAGGGTTTGGGGTTTAGGGGTGGATCAGGGTGTGCGTGGTTCGGGGTTTTAGGGCGTGGTGTTCGAGTTTTTGGATTTAGTTAGAGTTAGGAAACTTGGTGCCGATACCTCATGAAATTACTTCTTCTCCTGCAAGAGAATTTCAATCTTCCTAATATATCACTTCTTATTGCAGGTTGCTTCATTAAGCAGGGTCTTCTGTAGGAATCGTCGCAAGGAGCTTCAGGAATAGGATATCCGGGCAGCGTACTAGCTGTACCCTGCATGTAAAGAAATGGCCCTTCTGATAAGGACTCCTTCTTAAATGGAGGCCCTAGTTTCCGAAAGCAAACATAAAACCCTACAGGACATTGCAGTACAGACTTTCTAAACAGGTCATTATGACGGTCAGAGCCCGAAAGTCATTAGTCGATGGAGGACTGCTTGCCGTCCCCAGAGAAGGCTTTCGACATGAGAAGCTCGGTTCATCTTGGGCTTCATCAAGGATTCAGTAGGGTTTAGGGTAGGGGTCCCTAGTGTGAAGACATCCTTCGTCGCTATCGCTTCTTTTTGGGGCTTGGCATATCGTAAGTCATCAAAGGATTATGCTTCAGGGTTCAGGGTTTAGGTGTAGGGCATCGGGGTCTCCTTTGGCACGTCGGTTATGCAGCGGCTATACTTTTCAGACACCTACTAGTTAGATAACCAGAGTCCTAAAAAAGTCAAAGGTCACACCCATGAAACGCATCTGCTAGAATCGACAGGAGAATTGCACTGTCGAAGCCTTGGAACCGCATCACACATGTGACTTTGATAGACTTTCCAGGGACGGGTCCAAGATCCGAAAGATCCTGAATTGGAAGAAGCATATCAGCGTGTTGACGACTGCACGGCTCCCGAAGTTGCTTCTAAATGCACCTCGGAGTGAAGACCGATGAACTCCAAAGTGCCTTAAACGAAGCACAGAGCGGCTGTAACACTCATCCACGCCGCAGAACTGCATCATGTATTGGTAGTCCTTGTTCATGTACCAACATGTCGCACACGTATGGTCACAAGCCCCAAAACGTCAAGGAACCCTTCCGCTTGCCACTGCTGCCAGAAGATGGGGCCGATTCGCCGATCTGCGTGATGCGTCTGCATTTACCGACCCCGAGAATCTCTAGGTACTTTCCCAAACCAGAACAGCAAATCCGACAAAAGAAACCCTACTTTCTCCTATGTAAGTACGTAGCACCCTTTGGGTGAATATGCAGATAAACCCAGAACCCTAAATTTAAACCCTGAACCCTGTTGAGGTTACGGGCTGAGCAGGTAACCTTTAACCTTTTGGGGCTTCGGGGCGTATATTATAATTTAAAGGGTTAACCTTTTTTGGGCTATGATACCTTAAGTGAAACAAGCGATAAAGCCCTGAATGCTGCGAGTCTGCGAGGCATTGCCACTCCTGTTCGGCTTGGGTTTGCCCAGAGAAATCCTGTCGGGAGAAGGCGATGCCCGGCTGGCCGTGAGGCTTCTTTAGTGTTCGGTTTAGGGATGTTTAGTAGGGTTCTTCGGAGCTTTTTCTCCTTCTGATGATAATGAAAGTCTAAGGTATCATCAAACAGATCATGTTTACTCTGATTCTGACGGCGTCCAAGGCTGTTGGCTTTAGGATGCTTAAGGAATGGACACGGTTCCATAAGAAGCCGCGCAACCAGGAAACCAGAATACTCCAAAACACCAAACTGGCGGATTATCCCAGAGTAGTCCTTCGATGATCTCAGTGTCCCTGGCTATCCACCTGGAATAGGGGTATATGGCTGAACTTATACTTAACGAACCCTGGGTCAGGGGAATGTACCTTACAACCTTAACAACAATCCCTTAAATTGTCCGATGTTTGAATCTCCACCAAAGTCCTCGATGACTGAAACGCAGAATCCGACTCGCACCAAGGAAAGTGCTTGATGATCTGCCCCTCTGGTCTTGCTGCCATTGCATGGGCATCCCGCTCGTTTGCAGATGTCCACAGAGCTTCCCGGCATGAGAAAGCCGGTTTGTGGTTTCGACGACTTCAGGAGGATTCAGGGTTTTAGGCGCTCTCCTGTAGCCCACAAACTTTCTTGTTTGGAGTTCCTTTGAATGATGGTCCTCTCTCTCGCTCTCTCTCCTCTCTCTCCTGTCTCTCGCTCTCTCTCGCTCTGTCTCTTCGAAAATTCGTAAAATGTACAGAAATGCATACATACACACATACATACATGCATACATACATACGTGCCCACACACATACACACACACACACACACATTGATACATAGGTGCATGCATGCAGACAGACTGACAGGCATACATGCATGTAAGATACAGACATGCGTTTACATGTATGCATGCTTGTATGTATGTAGGTAGGTATGTATGTTTGGTTTGTATGTACGTATGTACTAGCATGCATGCATACGTGCATGTGTGCGTGTATGCACAACTTGCAAACCTGAACGACCTAAACCCGTAACATTGAATCCTAGTTCCCCAAAATCTGAAGCTCCACTTTACATTTAATATCTTGGTCGTGGTTACACAATGTCGGCATAGGGTGAAGGCAGCTGAGGCAAGGATTTTCGAGACTGAGGTGTTCCAGCATCTAGGAATCCAGGTAAAGAGTTGGAGGTCGAGGTTGCAGGGTTCAAAACCTATTTCGCGAGATCCGGGACCCTGAGTGATGACAAAGCTTATGTGCCATTGCGATGTTTGCGCTCTGTCCGTGGCACACAGGCGAGAAGGACATGAGTCAATTGCATCATGGCTGCAGCAAGCCTATTGTCGAATTGTAGAGTTTGAGACACAAGCCCATCCGAACTTCCAAAGGCTGCTCGGTCTTTCTAGATTCTAGGGTCCAGGCTAACCGGCTAACCCTGAAGCAAGGGAAGGTTCGAGTGATTAATAATACTATCTCGACGGGGTCCTTCATGCAAGTCCAGTATGATCAGCCCCACAACGCTCTGCCGCCGCATTGCAACCCTCAAGGTCTTAAAAACGCCAGCGTAGCCCTAAACCCCGGACCCTAAATCCCTAAACCCTAAACCTTGTGAGCACCCAAAACCCCAACTCGGCGATTATAAGGGCTTGCGCTTAGAAAGCCCCTGGGAGGACTTTGAACTTTTTGGCCTTGCTTTCTTGGTCTATTTCATAAAGATTGAACTTGATTGGGGCCCGGGATTTGAAGAAGAGAGTACAAGGTCAAGCATGATTGGGGTTTAGCTTTAGGATGTAGAGTTGGAAGTTGAGGGTTCGGCTCCTTGAGTGGTATCTGACCCAGTGAATCTTTGTGACATTCGGTTTTGCGGAAGGTTCAGGCTTTGGACGTAGAGTTCATGCTAGTTACCCTCGGAGTCTCTGCAGAGCTCCAAGCTTCTATCCGAACCCCGGAGCACAGCTACAGCTTATGCTGGGGACCCCAACAACAGTCCTAGAGATGAGAGCTGACTATCCATGAGCAGAAGCTAGGGTTGAAAGGTGCTGTGGTTTTTTTTAGACCAGCTACCGACTGGTCTGCCTGTTGTTGGTATTGGGCAGAGGGTTTTGGGAGTCTTGGAGTCTTCATTCACGTGGGCATTTGTACTTGGCATCCCCTATACCTTTATGACACACAGTGATCTCCATGACAGTTCTATCCTAACTTTGCATACATGCTAAGCCAAGAGAGCCTCCACACGACCGACAAGAATTTGAAGCCGACTGAGGCTCCTAATCCCCAAACCAAAAACCGTAATTAAAATCAAACTCGAAGCCTAGGCAGCGTACTCCGAAGCCGCGCGAACCATACCACGCCACAAGCCCAGAACCTAAACCCAATCACCCTGAACCGCAAATTCAAACCCTAAAGCCTAAACCCTGAACCCTAAACCGCCTGAAACCCCCAAAGCCATCTCAGGCTTTTAAAGACAGAGCTGCGGAGAAATCTTCCTGCGGAGCTGCGAAGCTCCCGAGAACTGCCAAAGACTGCAGCCGGGGCTTCGTTAACGTGGGTTCAATAGGGGTTTAGGGTTTAGGTTTTAGTATGAGGGCTTAGGCTTTAAGGTACCCAATAGTACATACATTTTCCTTAAAGTAACCCCTAGAGAATATAGGAACCTTGGGGCCAACGTATATACTGTTTGGGTACATGGACCCTCGGGTAAGTGTTAATTAGTTTAACGGATAAAGGGGCCTGCAAACAACTGTTGCTTACAGGGTTCCGGCTTCGAATTATGGCATAACACAGCCCTCCAAACCTTTTTCGAATCACCCATATCAGGTTGGGGTTTGGGAGGTGTAGGAGAGACTGTTGAAGGACGAAATCCTGCATCGATTTCCGATTACCGCCCATCCCTTCCAAACCCTGAATCTTAGTATTGATGTCAGACAGCTCTAAAAACAGGCATGTCTGCGAATGGACGAAATCCTGCATCACGTATCTGCGTCCTCAACATTGACATTCGAGGTGTGAGGGGAGTGAGTCAGTCAACATGTCATGCTCTTCTTCCTGTGGGTCATGCAGGATTTTGTCCAGCTTCCGATGATAATTATGTGTATGTTCCGAACTAAATCTAGTGTGTGTGCCCAGACCTTCTCAAAGCCCAAACCCATTAAACCCACAACCCAAAACCATGGCAGCTCAACGTAGGCTTGCGGAGTCAGGACTTAAGGCTTTTAGGCTTCATCTCGAAGCCTGTGAGGCGAGATTGCAGTTTTTGTTATGGAAGTTACTCCGGCCTTAAAACTTCTAAACTCTAAACCCGACAGACACTATCCCGACAGTCCCCGCCCCATCCCCCGAAGGCAGCATGAATCGAGGCCTCGTATCCCGAAATAGTAGCTATTGCCAAGGTTCCAGGCGAATCCGAAATTCCTAAACCGTAAATGTCACTAAACCCGTAAGCCCTACACACTATTTCCTGAAACCCTGACTCCCTAAACCTGGAACCCCTGAGCCCTTAAGCCCTGAACCTTAGACCCTATGCACCCTGAATCCTACGCCCTGATCTTCCAAAACCCTTCAACTTGCCGGCGCCCAGGCAGATCTCAATCGCAAGCGCAGCTCTGCAAATCTGAGCCAACCCCGACCTGCTTCCGTTAGGGTTTAGGGCTTACGGGTTAGAGGTTTAGGTGCTACAGGCAGGGGATGTGTAGCAGGATATAGGGGAAGCATGGACGCAAAACTTTTGCGGGCTGTGGCCTAATGCCACTCGCAGCGACCCTTGATTGTAATCAGACCCTGTTTTTCCTATTGCTACCTCATCATTCTTGTAAGGTGTGGCTATTCTTACAATGTCGGTTCTTGGTGAGGTAGACGCTGCCAAACTTGGTGGCAAGGCACGAGTATCGAGCCTCTTCCTTGCGCCTCGGCCCAGTGGTTACTGCACTATTTCGGGTTTAAGGTGTTTAGGGTTTAGAGTTTTCAACCGCGTGCCCACCCTAGATAACCCCAGGAGAATCCTTACCTAGAGAGTTCGGATACAAGTTAACGGAAGGTCTTCGTGCCCAAGTAGAGTACTTCGTCCCTGGCTGAAAACTCACAAAACCCTATATACACCCCTTTTAATGGGCTCCACGGACAGCTTACGGAATGAACGTTAACTACAAACCCTGAAACCCATAGTTTTTACGTACTGGCACAGGCGCAGATCCAGCCGCCCATCTCCGCTTCCTCGGTGATGCTGGCATGCTGCGGAAGATGCAGCCGTTGGAGCACCTGGCCTTATATTCGGATCCAGAGTAGGCCCTTATTCGCTGTTGAGGGTTTAGGTTTCTAGTATAGGTTTCCTTTCTAGCTGAGTAGGTAACCTCGAGCCTCTTGGGGTTTAGATAGTCCTACCATAGTTGAAAAGGTTAACCTTTTTTGAGCTGGGGTACTCAGCCCCTAAGTTTCAGTTCGGCTCCAGCCCCCAAGTTTGAGTTTAGGTGGGGTCTAGAGTAAGTGCCATGTAGACAACTAACATTAGCTGTTGCAGCAGGATGGGGGGGGGTACATCATGGTTTAAGTTTATATTGAGGACTAGAACGAATTGGTTAGATATTCAGACTTACGTCGCATAAGGTAGATGATTTCAGATATGTGGTTGGGTGTCGTTGTTGGCTGCTTAATGCTCCAGATGCGAGATTTCGCCTCGTTTCGGCGTTGAGGATTTAGGCTTTGTGGCTCGGAGAGTAGAGATTGTGGTTCAGAGGTTTAGAGCTTGAAGGGTCGTGTCCGGCTTCCATTCTGCATTATACATGTTTGCAGAACCGTTACAGAAACCCCGACTTACAGAGACCCGTAGCGGGACCCTGAAGGGAGCTCGTTTGAAGGGCTCGTCTCCTGAAGGAAAGAAGCGCCAACTCATCCGGCTCAGCGCTGCCCTGGCCAAGCTGCTCGAGACGCTTTGGCTCAATGGCCGTGTAATTAACGGCTTATGTTTTCGGATCCTAAACCCTAAACCGGCGTTTACGGTTTAGGTCTTTTTGATTGTTTCTGGATATAGGTACACGTTTGAGGCGCTTAGGGTTTAGATCTTGCAGATCCCTAGGGTGTTTTAAACAAGTCAGAGGGGTTCTCAGAGAACGGCGGGATTTCGGAATCTCGACTTGGGCTTCAGAGATGAAATACTAAATCTTGCTAAGCCTTGGATAGTTTGCCCGCTCCGTTTGCGCAATTCTGCATTCGTTGCAGATCTCACGCTGCGGAAATTTCCATGATACTCGCAATATCGAGTTCCTGCAGCTGCCTTCAAAGAACTCCACCTCAGAAGGTCCCCAGGCCTTTCAAAGATTTGGAAAAGCTGGGTTTGACGTTACAGTCGAAGAAGGTTTCCGGCTTTCATAAGTAGAGGGATTAGAGGGCTTATAGATTCGTTATTTCAACTCAAGTTCTTTTTATGAAGCACGAATCACTTACCGGTAGGATGCTTGTAGTTGTGATAATGCTTGTCATGTTTTGAGCCCGCAAGGACGGATAGCATATACTGCCGCAGAGTCCCAGCCCGAAACCCTTAACGCGTTACGGCTCTGGAGACTACTTTGAAACCTAGGTCTGACACGGTTGAACGTTTTGGATTCGATGTGGCGTCGGAGGATCTCGGGGAGCGGGTTTCAGATTTGTTGCACGCTGCGGAGGCACATCCCCGTTGTGACATTCCTTCCAGACCCCTCGCATAAATCCTGCAAGTTCCTCGGAAAAGCGTAAACAAGCACGCCTATACTTTTCTGAAAGGCTGTTTGGATAAGCTGAGGTGTACAAGCGCGGCGACATTGTTACCGCGTCGGTGTTGCCCCACATGATCGATTCGACCAGGGACAAGTGCCTATTCCTCCATTAGTGCATTTTCTCAGCCCTAAATTGTTTTTTGGGCTCCATTACGAAAGGAGTGCCGAGTCTTATGGTGCTCAGAGCCTATGTTGAGTGCAACCGCTTTGAGCACTCATCTTTGTTCTTGGAGTTCATTGACGGGTAAACCGCGCCAAGGCAAGGCTTTTCTAACAACACGACACTAGTAAGGTGAAGTAGTTACTACGTTTGGAGAGACCATATGGAACTGAAAGTTTAAGCTGCTTGGGGCTTGCGAACTCAGCAACTAAGGAACAAGGGCTTCATCGAGGATCGAATGTCGCGACGTCCGCCGGCAGATCCACCGCCTCAGGAGAAGGTTTTAGAGAGTTTGTGTAGGAGTTCGGGGCTTCTGATGCTTTGGAATTAAGGCTGAGTCGATTGGGTGAGGGTCTAATCTTCTCCCTCCGAAGGAGACGAAGATCGAGGGCTGATGGGCTCTTGTTGGGGATCTTAGTAAGTTCGCACAGCAGGCAGACACTGTATTTAGTGACGATATACCCTTACAGTTCCATACAACTGTACGAATACAGAAGTGTGTATGCAAAGGCATATGAGCACATATATATATATATATATATATATATGTAGAGACATACATACACATACAAATCTATACGCACATGCCTGTACATGGTCCTGATCTGCACACTTATGTCGGAGCAGCGTACATGTACATGCATAAACGAATGCGCCCGGTGACATACATGCTGCTGCAAAAGACAGACCTACGTTCGGATCGAGCTAGTGCAATGAATATAACAAGAAGAAACGTCCTTCTCCTCGTGGCAGTCCCCCCCAAAAACAGAAATGAGCACACCTCTCGAGGCAGTCCCCCCAGAATCTAACACACAACTAAGATTTCGAGACCTTCCAGAAACCTGACATGAGCCTTTTTTCGAGGTGGTCCCCAAAAACCAAAATTATCAACATCCATAGGCGGAGAAATAAGCATGTCTCTCCAGACAGTCCCGATAAAAGCCATTCCACACAGAGACGTGTTCATGTCTTGGAATATGAATATGGGTTTTAGTATGTTTGGGTTTTTGGGGACTGCCTCGAGAGATATGCTCTCAGCATGACGAGACACCCTCTCCGAAAGAATGCGTTTGCACATAAGCATAGCTATATATGTTTATTGAAACCGAATCACTTGCATACTATCCGACTGCATTCGTGGAACGGCAAACAAATCCTTAGCGGTACCGAGGAAGGCTCTACATGGCTTGTAAACACCAACTTTGTTGATGCAACAGCGCTCTGCAAACATGTATGTCCATTCATATCTCAGCTTGTGGCAGGTCCACCTTCATCACGTGTTGTTTTCGTAGCCTCATCGCACCTGCGCCCATGGGCTGGTGGGCCCGCGCTGTGCAAACGTGATTCCTTCTTCGCATTGCTTTTTTCTGGTTGAACAACACCTGGGAAAGTGTGTCAGTATTCAGTTATTAGTTGCCTACCACATGACTTTACACATAGATACAACAAATATCTAGCCGTTGTGTTTAATCAGTAAATGAATACGCAGTCTTAGCTTCATAGCATAGTCCGAACCAACTAAGATTTCGAAACTCTTCAGATACCACTTCAATGGTATGTGTGGGCCATCTAACGTGTGCTTTGTTGTGGATTACTGAGTACTCCTTTGGTGTTTGAGTACTGTGTGCTTGCTTTGTACAAGATCGCCGTTAACTGAATACCTCATGTTGGATTGGTATGTGCTTGGCAGGTGAAGTTTACATAGTGGTTTAGACTGCGCTTCGGGATGGATTACACATCAGCAATTCAGCCTTACGCAGACATTTGCTCAATAAATTCAATATAACTATGTCTGATTCCCACCCTACAGAGATTTTCCTTCAAATTGTACTCGTCCAAAACGTGCTTCTAACATAAACTTAAGCAGCAATTTATTACTATAAACTTCAGTTCGACCTGCCAATAAACGAGTTGTTTCACGAACGTTCGAACATAAGAACATGCTGAGATGCTACCGCAGTATCGCTGGTTGTTAACCTAAGCACTTAACTCAAATCACACAGTTTCGATTCGATATTTGACAAACTGTCTAGTTGATTCATTTCGTGAATTTCACATGTATGTACTGACGTTCGAAGGCGCATTTTTGAATGATATGTAAATATCATAATATGAGCTTGTGCCTACCTCGCCCCTGGTTGGCAGGTTCGCGTTGCCTCCATTTTTTCATGAATGAGTTAAGCGGTAGTTACGATCTACAAACGAATTGTTACTGAACTGCTGGATTGTTCTCTATCTCGTTTGCATTGTTCGTTGTTCGTGGATGTGTTTTGGTTTGTTTATTGAGCAGACTTGCGTATGAGGCAAAACACTATGAAATACTCAACACATGCTGAACCAACGCGGAACTTCATTTCAACGACAGCGGGGGCCCAAGCTATTGACTCTAGCAAAAGCAATGACACTTTGGGAAACGACCCTACACCCTCCTATCAGACCCTACCTTTTCTGAGCTTGAGGAGCTGCGGAGAGACATCCAAGAGCGATGTTACGCTGCCGAGCAGCGCCTTCGGGACTTTTGCCCGCTGCTTAGCGGTCGAGGAATCAGGCTTTGGGGGCTGAAGGTCGCATGTCGTTCCGTCCGTCTGGATGTAAGTATGTAGACTTGAGAAAGACGTTCTCAACATTCTAGTGCAACTGTGCGAAAATAGACGGTGTATATACAGACTATACACAGACACAGGCTTGCGTACATTTGTATGTACGTACATACATATATGCACATCAAACATACGTATTTTATATGATATATATATATATATGCATATATATGTATATATATATATATGCATATATATATATATATAGAGAGAGAGAGATGCATAGAGAGGGTTAGATAGATGCAGAAGATTAACATATATATATATATATACCCACACGCAGTGCACTTGTTTACGAGACTCATGCAATTTTGATTCGCATTTTCGTTTGCATGTAATGCTTATCACTGCTTCGATTGTTGTTGTGGTGCCCATGACTTCTTACTTTGTAGAGCACTGCCTCCGTTTTGCAGGCCTGCGGCATTGAGGTAAGGGGGTGGCAGAAGGCGGAAGCGGAGTTGCATCGTCTTGGGGCCCGGCAACAGCGTAAACACGGTTACATGGCTGAGAGCAGACAGGACGACTAGGAGGTTGCCTGACGCAGGGTTTTGTCTTTACAGATATACTTATACTGCTGGCAGTACATACGATCTGCCAGGAACCGTGGGGTGAATTGAGTCGTTCTTTCATGCACTGTGGGAGCCGAGGTCGAGGACACATGTCCCCTGAGCAACAGGCAGGGTGCATGTTGGGAAACGATGTAGAATGCATAGTGTTGCAAAAGCCGCAATTTGACGCGACTACTTGCGGCCACACAGAACAGCAGTGAGCTGCCACAGGCTCAACACGTGTCAACTAGCTCCCCGCATGCACTTCGGCTTCGAATGGGACTTAATTAGCAGCGGCAACCTAACATTGGGAAAACCAGAAGATCATGCCGGCTTGCAGCTCGTACACTGACTTGCAAGATACAAAGTTGGGCTGGGTCTCTTCAACTCGTCACGGTCTTTGCCTGATTGGCGCGGAACCCGCTTCTTTACTCGTCACTGGGAGTCTTGGCCAGGCCACAGGCCATGCCGAGCAGGCTGCCAAAGGTGATGCAGCAAAGGCCAAGGCCGAGCTTAGGAAGCTTCGAGTTCTGCAGGTTCCGTGTCAAGCATTCTGAAAGTAGGAATTCATGTGCAGGCGCCCGACGACGTGTCGCAGAGGCCCGCTAGCGTGGCAGCTGTAGCCCGACTCTTGTGAGTGTGTATGTGAATAATGTACAGATATATATATATATATCTATGTACACTGTCTGGATGTAGTCATTATTTGATTAGGTATCCAGTAACCTTGAGTGTATATACATATATGTTCATATGTATATATATATATATATATATATGTGCATGCACGTGTAAATTTATACATATGTTTAAACACAGCAAGGTAATTGCCCAAAAGCAAACGTAGTTGTACAATAGACAGTATAGTATTAGTGTAGTACATAGACGCTTGCAGTATGTGATCATATGTGTACGTATGCATGTGTGTATGTACGTATGTCTGCATCTCGTGAAACCTAGCAAGTTTGGGGCTGCACCCTTCGGCTGTTGCAGTTTTGGAGACTGTTGGTGTGTGTTTTCGTCACTTGAAAGACGCGTCCTGACTCCCCACTGTCTGCTCTCGTGATGGTTTGCTCTTCGTGGCAATGCTCCAGTCCGCATCTTCGCACCCTCATCTGCCAGGCACTCTCCAAGCCCGAACGAGGCTGCAACAAGGCAAGCTGCAAAGTCCCAGCAGTTCCAAGCAGTTCGACTGTACCTGCAACATGTTTAGAGTTGAGAGAACCATTGATGGCTGTCAGACTTATGTGGACTATGGTTTGGGGTTGCACATGTGATTTGTGCGCCCGTGCCATGCTCCATTGCAGGAAAGTAAAGGCATATTTGCATGTTCGTCCGTAGAGCGTAGCTTTGTTTGTGAAGCTTGCTCAGAAAGAAGCAACAGCTTCTGCCAATGTTTCCTTTTACGATCTGGAAGACCTGGAGACTAGCCAAGGTTTGCAAAATCCCAACACATTGCCTGTTGAATCAGGTGTCACACGTCATATCATGCACTGTGTGTACGCGCGTTCATGCGGATATAAAGCCTTAAAGTATATATTGACAATGTAATCGGATGAGACGTAAGCCGTTTGCCATTTGCGAGCTGCTAACTGCTGAGTAATGTCTAATGCATCCTGCCTTCTTTGTGCCAGAGCAGGCAGCAATGGCGACAAGACAAGCAATAACAACATCATAGCATCAACAAGTAGCACAACAAGGAGGCAAATCATGTCTCGTGTGCATTCCGTCGAACTATTACACGTTACTGGATATTAAGATTACATGTTATGCGCTTCTCCTGTGTGGTGTTACATGTTGCTGGATGCTGGCACTGTAGATTTGTGCATGTTCCTGGCTGAGTGGGAAGCAGGATCGCAAGTTCCATGGCAGCGACTTTTTGATATGCATAGCCGTGAAATCTCCCTGTCTTTTGGACCATTTAGCCGAGGTGACCTGACCTAAATTATTTGCTTGTCTTGCAGTTCCTTGTACTGGTACAGGAACGTAGTAGCACTTGCTTGACAGTAGCGCCTGATTGATTGAACGTACTTGACCGCAGGCGCCTTGAGCTCAGTTCGAATATAAGCTGCTTCTTCCGCGTGCGTAACTCCTGAACCTTACATTCATTCCAAATTGGTAACGGAACAGGTGGATTACGTGCGCTAGGTTTCACCGGTGAGGTCCCAGAGAAGTAGAGCCTTTGGTTAGCCAGGGTAGTTTGGGTAGAGACATGAGTGTTGCCGGGCTTCGATTCCAAAACACCTGGTATAGCCAGAACAGTGCACCCGCCGCGATCAAATCGGGTAGCCATATTTATGCTGGTGCGGCTTCGTCCTACCATGACTGGGAGATAAGTAGCGGGGTACGAGCCCTGCAACATAAAGAAAAGCAGCGACGGGAGCAGCTAACAGACATGCGTGCCACAGCTTTCGCAAAGGCGCAGAGTCAATCTCCCAGAAAGTGGCGCGGAAAGTTGAAGCTTGGCTTGTTGCGAGGGGAAGGTGTCCCTTCTGGTGCAGCCAGCAGTATACCCGCAAGTCCGTCTAGTGCAAGGCATGCAGCTCGCCCAGCCGATGCCGAAGGTGAGGGCGCCGCGTCAATTCCTAGCAACGCAAAGCAGATAGAGGGCGAGCCCGATGAAGATGACCTTGGTGACCGGGCGTACACGGAGTTTGGAGCCCGCCGATGTCAAGGTTTCCGACTTGGACATGTCGGAGTGCGTAAGCAAGCTCGCGGGGCGACGAGTTCAGAATTGCATGAGACTAGCATAGGATTGAAGCGTCTGCTGGGGCGATCTGATTGAGACCATTCGTCAGCAAGCTTTCCCTCTTCAGTTTGAGGAGGCGTCCAAGTTGTTCCGTCAGGGCCAATTACTGGCTGCGCGCCTTGTTAAACAGCATCCGATGTTATAATACATCGCGTTGGTGGACGACGCTGCACGAGCTGCTCGATGGGGCTTTTCGTCTGTCGGAGTCCATGAGAGCCAACCTACGCGTTGAACTTCCAGGTCTTTCCCGAAATGAGCAACCCATGGTTACAACAGCCGCACGCCATCATACCGTGGATGTGTACACCCGGCACATGAAAGAGTGCCTTCTCACTGAGAAGATTCATGCGCAAGGACTATGGTATAAGCTGCAATGCTCCCACGAAATACCGTTAAAATGGCGAGGGGCACGGTGAAGATGACGATCCACCCGGGTACGAGAATCCCCACAACCTCGATGCTCACACGGCTGCATGACCAGCGTTCGAACCCGGCGACGATATGTGGATCGACAACGAAGACGAAGCATTGCAGCTTAACGCATATACAGCAGCAGCAGCAGAAGCAGCGGAAGTGGATATGATGACGCAGAGGCGGAAGCCGTACAACTCCCGTACGCACCGACGAGCACGTTCAACCAAGCCAAAGGCAAGGGAAAGGAAAAGGGAAGTTAAGGGCAAGCCAGGCGGCAAGGTTGCTAGGTCTAACCTAACGATCGCAGACCGAAAAGCGAAGCTCACCGAGCTTAAGTCACCGAGCTTAAGTCTCGCAGCCGATGCCTACGCCGCGGTGCAATGGGCCATTTGGCCGGAGATGCTGAAACTCAGATTCAAAGGCAACGGTGCAAAACAAACCACGCCGTCTCCAAAGTCCACTACAGTCCCGGCACGGTCCAAAGCCCTTAACCTTAAGCCTCACGAGTCGGATGATAAAGTCGTATCTCTTCGCAACTCCCATATGAATGCTGCGGGTTACATGGCTCTCAAGACCGGGAAAGGCCGAGGAAGTGGTAGTGTGATGACGCCTGAGATGAGGAGATCGACCGTAGCGGGCGTCGTGCGGGATTGTCCGCCGCCTGGGGGCGATACGGTTTTGACATTCGGCCAGCATAGAGGACTAACTTAGTTACACCTATCCGGCGTATGTCCTCCGGGGGGACCCTAAGAAGTGCCCATCGAGGCTCCTTGGCGAATTCTCGAATTGGGTTTATGAATACTTAATGAATTCATTGTTACCGACTCAGACCCGATTGAGACCACCCGAAGGCAGTATGCTCCCGCCTGGACCAGGGCAGCCTTCGGCATCGTCCGAAGCGAGACCCGCGTTGTTCCGGCCGCCGTGCCGCGGAGGTTGCAAGGAGTTCAGCAAATCGGGCAGTAATGCATACACATCGACATGCGTACATGCAAGAGAGTGTGGTACGGTAACTCAGAATAAGAAACGCAGACTGTAGTTGACCAAACTACCTCCACCGAGAGAACTGGTTCTAGCAAGAAGACTAGCCAACTTAGATGTAAGTTGCGCGGATTCTTGTTAGACGAACAACCGCGAGAAGAGCACCAGAAGCGAACCGACATCGCATCTACCGTGCAGTAAGCCAACACACTAGATTCCGACTTGCTGCGGTCCATTGTGAGTCGTACAAGTGAAGACCTACGCAGAGAGGTAAATGTGCCCGCGCTAGAGCAGTTCAGAGAGTCGTAGAGGGTCACTTTGTCACTGAGCCTTCTACATCTAAAGAGGTGATCTTATCGCATTCCTGCAAGAGTCGCTAGAAGACCAGGTCCAGTCCAGCAGCAACAGCACCAGCTGGGAAGTTGCTTCGGCGGCGCGTTCGACAGCGCGAGCGTCATTGTGCGGAGGGAATGTATGCCGTCTTTGACTCAGATTGCAGCGGTTGCAGTAGCACGGTACATGGTACCGAATGGATTAATAATGCAGCTGAAAAGTTAGCCGACATTAGATTTAGCACGCTGTTTGGACCTCTGAGCTCTTCCTCGTCGCATGTGCAGGTTATCTATTTCCGATACTTGCTGGTCCTCCCCGTCAGGTTGAGTCACTTTTTATTTGAAGAGCTGGAAGACAACTTCGGCCTTAAGGGCTGGGACGGCTCTGCGATGGAAGACTCATCGTTGCTAAAGATCTCTTCGCGCCGTCCCGAGGTGGAGGTGTCTTGACCAATGAGCTGCAAGTCTCACTGGTTCTTCATGACAGCAAGTGTGGGGTCAAGCGCTTTCTTAAAGCCATATTCCGTAAGACGGCCCAGGAGACCCAGCCCTCGAATATTGAAGAGATGGAGGCAGTCCTGGCAGAGTGCGTCGCAACGAAAGGCGCATTTTCAAGGCACCAGGGCTTTAGCCCAGCGCAACACGTCCTGGCAGCCAAGAGCTACTTCGGGACCTATCAGGCCCGCCACGATGAGACGAGTCCCTTTTTACTTACAGCATAGAATCCACATCTAGACACGGAAAGTAGCAAAAGCACTTAGAAGAAACGCTGCCCCCATCGAATCCGACTGTAATGTTGGAGACCTAGTTGTGTCTACCGCAGAGATAACGTTACGGGTCGACAGCAGTTGTATGGTCAACAGTCAGTCGCATTATAGGACGTGAAGCAGAAAATGCATGGTGATTACTCCACGAAAATGCACCCGTCCTTGTCAGCGCCAGAAAGATGAGGCCTGCAGACGAAGTTGAAGCGGCGGCGATGGGTACTGACTGGCGAACCGGTCCTTCCACAAGCTATCGTCAGTGGCCCGGAGTGGCCGTCCCAAGCACTCCACCCACGCCTTCGCGGATGCCAGGTACACGGCTACCTGAGACGAGGCCGAGAAGGAGTCCTACCAAACATAAGACCGGTGAGCGCGCTACAACAGGACGGATTGATTGCCGATGCCTGAGAACCCGCTGAGGAAGATCACGGAGGAATTCTAGATGCCGAAGACCCCCCAAGAATCATATCACGCAGCACAGGCATGTCATGTACCCGTAAACATGTTTCAGAGATATGTGATGCAAGAAGCATTGCAGTTGTGAACGGGCGATGATTGCAGCCTCTTTTGTGGCAAAAGTTTTGCGGCAAAAGCATGATCGACTTGATGTTTTTCGTGGTAGCAGAGGGCCTGTAAGACCAGGCGCCTCCAAAGCCGCCCGCGGAGCCTGTAGATTGAGACCGCCATGTGCGGCACTGCCTCGTCTGCTTGCTTTCCTTGTCGGTTGCGAGCCGGGCTATGCAGCACTCGAAGAGACCGCAGGATCAACGACCGCAGCCGTGTGATCCCTCAAGTCCGGCGAAGGTGGCGCTTCCCCACCTCACCCATTGCCGTTTCAGCAGTGGTGGGCGTGGCTGCCCGCAGCCGAGGAGACTCCCACGTGGCCGGGCCGAACCGCCAGACCGATGTCTAATTTCACTGAAGTACCTGTGTGTGCACCAGCCTTCCGGCCGCCAGGAAGAGCCTCAGCAGCGGCCAGACCTACATCGACCAGGCCTCGCTGTACAGCACTGCGCGTGGACAGAAGGTGGTGACTTTGAGCTCCTCGCGCACAAGGCATGGCAATGGATGCTGCTGGGTGGCCGAGCTGGTCATGAGAAGCGATTCGTTTGTTGCCAGTCCGATCGCAAGCAGGCTTGGTCTGGGCAGGGTTCGACACCTGCAGACAAGCTGCCTTTGCGTGCAACACTGGGTCGTGGACAAGCGTTAAGCATGGCCGCCGTCAGAGTTTGCAACTAACAATGCCGCTTGCGCATCTTGTGCTTCTTGGAACTTCTTGGCTGGGGTGGTGGATGACAGAGGCCATCCGGTGGGCCAGGAAGAGCGTGCCGAAGCTTTCGGGTGCGGCGTGCTCGGGAGGCAACATGGTGCAGGCTTTGCTGCCTGTTCGCCTGCAAGGCTGCACTGCACTTCGGAAAGTCCCGAGGCCGCAGCTGTTGCTGGGGCTTTCGAGGCACTGGTTCTACTTCTTGGAATCTACCTGGCCACTGGAAGTTGCCGAGTGATGCTTAATTTAGCAAAATCTCGGCATGGAAATGTGGATCACCCGAAACAGATACTCCGATCAGACGCATCGGATCCCCAACTTTAGTTCTTGAAGAACATCAAGGCGATCACGCCTTTGCCACAAGAGGCTGAAATCATCGCTGCTTCAACTGCAATGCTCGTTGCATCACATGAACTCTGAAACATGTTTGCATGTATGTGACATGCCTGTACTGCG